CTCTCCCTCACTCTCCATATGCCTGTGTGAACTCTAAAAAGGTAAGCATTTGTTATTGCTGCTTCCCACAATTCTTCAATTTTAGCTTAGCGATGCTAATTTAGTTTTTTTAAAAATATTAAGAAGTCTCATCAGCTGGCAGAATCCACCGGTGGTGTGACGTCACCACCAGCTGACTTGAGCCGCTGCTGTTTCGTCTCCTGCTTGCTTGCTTTGTGTCCTGTTCCGTGTTCACAGCTGCTCGCTGGCTTGCTCCTTTGCTGTGTTTGCTGCTGTTTGTCTGCGCTGCTGCAGGCCTCTCCATCCTCGCTCAGTTACCGGCTCGGCCTTGGTTGGTCGACTGCTCCGCTCTCTCCATCTTCGCTCAGTTACCGGCTCGGCCTTGGTTGGTCGACTGCTCCGCTCTCTCCATCTTCGCTCAGTTACCGGCTCGGCCTTGGTTGGTCGGCCGCTCCACGCTCTCCCTCCCGCTCTTACTGCTGTGCGGTGCTTGCTGCTGGGGCTGCGGTGACTGACAGCTGCCTTACACAGCTATTGGGTTGTGCATAGGACTGTGGCAATATGGTGTCGAGTGTTTTTTTTATATTGTTTATTTCATTTCGGGCAGTTTTAGTTTAGTTGTTACCTGCCCATTTTTCTCATTTTGTATGTTTATTTTGTGATTATTTTTGTAGTAATTTGTTATTCTTTTTCAGTTGCTGCAGGCCGGTGGTGGTGCTGGTGACCCGGGTGGTGGTGTCCCTTCCTTCTGTGTGCCATGTCCTGGGATTTTGGTTGATTTCACATTGTGTGTGTGCTTGCCACGTGTGTTTGAGTGTCTGATTATTTTCACCTTAATACTATTTTGTATTTGGTAGACTCCCCACTCCTCTCACTAGCTCCTGCCCACACCCATAGGCCTCAGCTCCTGAATCATATTCCCTTTTTTTTGTCTTGTTTTTTTGTATGGTTGGATTTTAAAGTCTTTTAGAGTATTTTTGAAATAAAGTATACTTTTTGTTGTAAGTACTTGGACTCATGTCTCTTGCCTGAAGTATAACGAACCTGTGTCCCATTATTGTTAATGGGGAATAATTCCTCGGGTGAAATTCCCAAGGTGGCGTTGTCAGGCAATTAAAATAGAATTTGGATTGGTGTGACCCACTGCTCGACGCAGCGACACTTAGTTAAAACTAAATTACAGACTGAATTGTCTTTATAGATGTGTGACGAGTCGGATGTATTTCAGTGACGTCATTGCAGATATCTGTAATTCCATTTTGACAAGTAAAAACTGAATTACAGATAACTTTAACTGTCATTTTGAGTAGTCAAAATGTAATTACGACTGCATTATTTAGTTGCAGATATCCACATTTGACATTGTGGCTATCTACAATTGAATTAAAGACATCTGTAATGAGAAACCCCATACACATGAATGGAAAAAAAGTGACGTCTTTTGTCCTAGGAAGAATGAAGTTGTGGATATCTGAAATGTTCATTTTGACTAAGAATAATCGAATTAAGGATATCTGTAATACCATAACTCACACTACCGTTATTCTCCTCACTGTCGTGACGTGCGGCTGTCAGTCATCCCATCATACCTGTCGGCAGACGTCACTCATTGCCTGACAGCCTAATGATGATTTTGATTTGATTACTCCTCTAACACAAGCAACAGCTTCCCTGTCATTGCAGCTTATTTTTGTTTATATCCTACATTAAATTTTGAGCATATACAGACCCTTTCCAAAAAATTAGAATATCATGGAAAAGTTGTTTAATTTCCATAATTCCATTCAAAAAGTTAAACTTTCATAGATTATAGATTCAGGGCCCACAATTTAAACGATTTCAAGTATTTATTTGTTTATTTTTACATAATTTGGGCTTCCAGCTCATAAAACCCACGAAAACAGGAATTCAAAAAATTAGAATACTGTGAAGAAATCACCATTTACTTCTCAGTTTTTGCAGAAAAAAAAGAAAGAAATTAGGATCACATCAAATCAATCAAAATATGGTACTTTCAAAACAATATGTCAATCTTCAATACTTGGTTGGGAATCCCTTTGCCTTAATCACTGCCTCGATGCGACGTGGCATTGAGGCAATCAGCCTGTGGCATTGCCTGGGAGTTATGGAAGCCCAGATTTCCTTGATGCTTGCTGTCAGCTCTTCTTTGTTGTTGGGTCTGGTGCCCCTCATTTTCCTCTTGAGAATACCCCATAGATTCTCAATGGGGTTTAGGTCCGGCAAGTTGGCTGGCCAGTCAAGCACTGTGATGGCATGGGCATCAAACCAGGTTTTGGTGCTTCTGGCGGTATGGGCAGGGGCCAGGTCCTGCTGGAAGATTAAATCTGCATCTCCATACAGATCCTCAGCAGAAGGAATCATGAAGTCCTCTAAAACATTCTGGTAGACTGTTGCGGTGACCTTGGATTTAAGAAAGCAGAGTTTACCAACACCTGCACCGGACATTGCACCCCAAATCATGACTGACTGTGGATATTTC